ATGAATTATGATATTTTTCTTCCAGTGACCTTGAACTACCCCAAATGACCTTGGGTCAAGGTCATGACACACCCTTGGGTCATGGGCAAATCTTTCAGTGAAATGAGAACCTACCAAGTTTATCCATAAGAAAGATATGGACGTGACACGAATTATGATATTTTTCTTCCAGTGACCTTGAACTACCCCAAATGACCTTGGGTCAAGGTCATGACGCACCCTTGGGTCATGGGCAATCTTTGTGTGAAATGAGAATCTACCAAGTTTATCCATAAGGAAAGATATGGACCGGACACGAATTATGATATTTTTCTTCCAGTGACCATGAACTTCCCCAAATGACCTTGGGTCAAGGTCATGACACACCCTTGGGTCATGGGCAATCTTTGTGTGAAATAAAAACCTACCAAGTTTATCCATAAGAAAGATATGGACCGGACAGGAATTATGAAAATTTTCTTCCAGTGACCTTGAACTTTCCCAAATGACCTTGGGTCAAGGTCATGACATATCCTTGGGTCATGGGCAATCTTTGTGTGAAATGAGAACCTACCAAGTTTATCTATAAAAGATATGTATCAAACATGATTTTTGAAAATTTTCTTCCAGTGACCTTGAACTTTCTCAAATGACCTTGGGTCAAGGTCATGACACACCCTTGGGTCATGGGCAATCTTTGTGTGAAATGAGAACCTACCAAGTTTATCAATAAGAAAGATATGGACCGGACACGAATTATGAAATTTTTCTTCCAGTGACCTTGAACTTCCCCAAATGACCTTGGGTCAAGGTCATGACACACCCTTAGGTCATGAGCAATCTTAGTGTGGAGTAGTAGATTCTAATGTCCCTCTGTAAGAAAGATATGGACCGGACACGATTGCACAGACAGACGGACAGCTAGACGGACGGACAGACGGACAGATGGACAAGGTGATTCCTATATACCCCCCCAAACTTCGTTTGCGGGGGGTATAATAAATAAATTAAGATGACAGGCCACAGCGATTGATTTACCCTGAATGTCCTCTGGACTGCTTTTTTCTGAGTTAATTTTCATGGAATCTGAAACAAATAGTGTATACAATGTAACAGTGTAGAAAAGCTGTCTCTATACATCAAAAAAGGGCATCATAAACACCTTAAACTGTAAAATCTATATTACATGTATACTACTTGCCATTAATCTTTCTTGACATTTCATCTATCCAGAATTTCATTTTTTTTTTTCAGGACAGATTTAGAGAAAAGATGATCAGAATTAACTCTATTCAAAGCAATATGTATTCACGTTTGACAAAATCTACCCATCTTTAATCTTGGAATATTTTACATAATCAAATCTTCGCGACTTTACAGTATGTACACTTAAGTACTGACCGACGTCATCTATATTGTTCTGTACGTTGTTTAAGCTGTCGGGTTTGTGTATATCCTCTAGTTTATTATCGTTCTCGTCGTCGGTCATGATGATCTTGATGTCGTCGCTGACGATGACCTTCCTGTCACTGGTGTCGATGACCTCGTCTGTCGTCCTGTCCCCGTTTGTCAGCCCCTCCCCATTCTCCTCTATCACATTTTCCTTTGGTTCTTTGATTGCCTCCAGTTTTTCTGATAATAGGGAAAAAAATATCTTCAATAAAAGTCTTCTAATTAATTCAAAGCACGTATTCCTATAAATCTTTCTCTGGCAATATAGCTAACTAAACAGCATCATCAATTTGAAATCACAGAATGATACATAATTTTAAACTCAAGGAATAGTGTTCAAACTTAAGCATAATGGAGATAAATACTACTGCTTTTTGCTGTACAATAAATGATCAAGTTGTGTCTCCTTCGTAATGGTGGCCAACTGAGCCCCCTATGTAATGCATTACTTTTATTCAGGGCTAGCTTTAGTAATAGTGATAACATTTTATTGTAGCTACCCTCAGTAAGGGAGATTTATCTTTTATGGTAGCTAGTCTTAGTAACAATGATTAAAGGAATCACTGTTTAGTTAGTGGAGTATGCCAGGACATCAACGATAGTTGGAAATGTGGAATAATTTGCATTACAGGCATAAATTATCCCACGTTTCCAATTATTGTTGATGTCCCTGTCATACTCTACTAACTATACAGTGATTCCTTATATTTCCATTTCTTTGTGAAATAAAATTGTAAATTTAGATTTTTAAAATGTATATTAATAGATTTAAATTTGATGAGCCCTCCCATGTCAATTTCAATAGTCCTTGTCCACTGATGTAAAACACGAAGACAGACGCACAAGATTTACATGCATATTAGGCTTCCTTAGCACCTGACCTATCGCTTTGCCTAATTTACATTCTGGTAGAATTATCAAGAAATCAACTCCACTAACTTGCAAAGAGTTATCAGAGAGAAAACATATGGAAGTGGAAATAATCCAATAATTACCTTTCATGGCGGCGAGCTGTTCCATGGCGATGTCATTGTCGGCCTGTAGAGACTCCATCTTGGCGGTGAGAATCGTCTCCTGGCGGATCATCTCCTCCAACTTCTCACTCAGGTCCTCCTTCTCCTGGCGGAGTCTCTCCACCTCCTCCAGGTGGTGCCGCTCAGCCTCCTGTGTAAACATCACAAACTCATCAGTACTACAGACTATTTATCTAATAATTAATAGTTTAAATAATAATTATACTTAATGGTTTTTTATTTTATAATTAGATTTAGTAAAGAGTTATTTCCCTTTCACTGCCATACTGGAGATCAACCTTAAGATCTCTTCATTACTTAATGATGAGAGTGTGGACGATTCTTTCAATTGTTAAAGCCTCTTATTATTAAAGTCAAATCTTTAAAATGTCAAGGTTCACTGTTCACTATAATGGTATTTAACCTGCTGGTAAGGGAAATAACTCAGAAAAATTGTCAATCAAAAACCTAATACTAGTGACATTATGTTTACAAGTGTGAAGAAGTCAATATATCAGGCCTCTGTAGCTCAGTTGTAAGAACACAGAGGCCCTGGGTTTGAGTACCTCATTAGACTTTATCTTAATCACCTGTGACATTAACTTGCATTTCTTTAATGCTCAAGAATTTCCATCTAAGGCCTTAAAAATTTACGACTTGGTTCTCAGGCCTGCCCGTATTTCATTCCATGAAATACAATGCGCATTACCCATTTTTATCCTCATTACACAAATGAATATAAAATTTCTCTTCATGCGCTCATACAGTGCCAAATGAATCCGGAATTCCTGCTGGTCCTGATTCTATTTTTAGGACTCACCTGTAATTTTTCCTGGATCTTTATGACCTACTTCTGCTGGACCTGATTTTAGTTTTAGTATTTACCTGTAATTTTTCCTGGATCTCTATGACCTCTTTCTGTTGGTCCTGATATTTCTCGGCCAGGGCTTGGAGTTCCTCCTGAGCTTTCTCACACATTTCCTTCAGATGAGCACACTCATCCTCCGTGTTATGTAACGATCGCTAAAAATAATCACATCAAAGACTCATAATTACACAGACAAAAGTGATGTTCACTAGTGCAGCTTGAAAAAGTATTGAATTTTTCTGTTAAAATAATAACTAACGCTTTAAATTCAGGGGCAAACATTACCTCAAGGTCTGAAAGTTTCCGGACAGCCTCCAGTTTTTCTTGTAAAACTCTCTTTAGAGATTCCTGGAAAAACAATAAAGAATAAAAGGCTGTTTGATACATGTCGAAACATCAATACATCAGAGAGAGTCAGCAATCTTACTTAAGCAGTAGTTTTGTATGTGATATAGTCAGAAATTTTACTTTGGCAGTAGTTTCATATGTGTTCTTTTCTTCTTGCAGAGTCACCACCTCTTGGCGTAGAATATCTTCTGCATGGTTCTACAAGCAAGAACACAATATAATTACAGTGATTTCCAGATTTCAAGAAAATTTGCATATTCTTTCGAAATAAATCATTGAATTTTTGATATAAATCATCAAATTTTCATATCCTGAAATGATGATGATCAAATGTCATTTGTGAAATGTTTTAATCTTATCCCCCTTTATGCCTCCAGTCCATTTTATCTTTCAATATTGAGAAATCTTGTCTAACAGTGAGATAAAATCTAGCTGCCCTTGGCTGGTGGCCTGACCTTGGAGTAGATATGTAGCTGGTTCTCCAGCACCTCGAGGCGTGACAGTAGGCGGTCCTCGTCTATCAGTGCCTGCCAGCCGTTCTCTGAGGCCTCCTGAGTGTTGTCCACCAGCTGCTGTAGTGTCCCTAACTTCTGTTCTAGCATCTTCTCCCTGTGTAGAGCCTCCTGTAATGTACAAAGACAAGCGTCAGTGGAGGGAACAAATACGTCATATAGTTAACCTGAATTTTACGGTTGTCTGAGGCTTAATATGTGTTGTTCAATTGCTATAATTCTTGAAATGTTCTAATTCATAAAGCTAGAAAGCTACAAAATATGTTTTAGCTGTAAAGCTGATAAAATTTCAGATTTACTGTAGTCAGCTGATAGTTACCTGTAAATACTGAGCCAGCTGATAAAGTTCCTGAGATTGTATTGTGACGCCGGGTGATACTGTGTTAGAAAACTGCCCTGATTCAGAATATCTGAAATCAACAAATGTATGCTTGTAGTGAAGTTTGCTAAGTAACAGAATGACATTACAGGGTCAATATTTTATTCCACTTTATAAACAATTGGGAATGTGTAAACTATTTTCATATTGCTTAATTTTTACTGCTGTATGCTTGTGAGAGGTTGTGCATTTTTAGAAGTATTTCCTTGAATTTTGAAAATTTAAGTGTATTTAAAGGTCTTTCAATTTTTAAGTTTATGTATTTTATTTAACTTGGTTGTAAACAGGGCATTGGACTTGAGACTTATCTAGTATGGCGTGTATAATTAAGGTCTTCCGACTTCCTTCGGAAGACCTTACTGTTATTCGTCTGTTTTTTATTATTAAGGTCTTCCGTCTTCAGCGGAAGACCTTATTGTTTTTCTTCGGTTTCTTTTTCACTTTTATTATTATTTTTTTTTTTCTTACCGATTTTGTGCACGCGATTTCTCGAAAACGACTCAACAAAATCTTATGAAACTTTCAGGACGTATGGAACATCACTTGAACCTTATGCGTTTTTTTCCGTTTCGATGACGTCACTTCCGGTCTAGAGATATCGTCGATTTTCTGATTTTTAAGGGTCATTTTGTCCACAATTTTCCCGAAAAACGGCTCTAGATAGAAACTTCAAACTTTGAGGCTAGGTAGAGCTATGTTTGGAGAGGTGCATCAGGTATATCAAATTTACCGGAAATGATGCACGTCGGTGCTCGCTATGGCCCGAAAATTGACCTATCACAAATTTCAAAATTTCTCTCACCTTTTCTTCGATATCTTTTTACCTGAAAATATTTTGTGAAGACGTAAAGAACAAAAGATGTGTACAATTCCAAGATCTTTCAAATGATATCTCGAAAAAAAGGGCTGGCCCCTAAAATTAAGGGCCTAGAAGGGCCGAAAGTTTTTCCTTTATATCTCAAAAAGTATTGGGATTTTTTAATACGTCAAAGAAGCAAAGTTGTTTAAAATGTCAAGGTTGATCTAATGGAGCCGTCAAAATACGTCCGGCGACGTCACTTCCGGTCAAACCGGAAGTAGTCCAAAATTGCATATTTTTGCTGTTCTTGACAGGTTTTTGGATATCATATGTCACTAGACAGCTTAAATCTTAATTTTCCGTCCGTCAACGTCACTTCCGGTCAAACCGGAAGTCGCCAAAATGGCTTTTTTTTTTTAGTAATAATTAACATACATTTGGAGAATTAAACAATTTTTGGACTTCATTTCTCTTTTTTATTAAATGAAAGTTACTTCCGGTCAAACAGGACGGAAGACCTACTCGTTGCTTTGCAACGAGCTCGGCTCTAGTTATTAAGGTCTTCCGTCTCCAACGGAAGACCTTATTGTTTTCGTTCGGTTTCTTTTTCCCTATTATTATTATTATTCTTCCAACCGATTTTGTGCAAGCGATTTCTCAGAGATGGCTCGTCCGATTTTTACCAAACTTTCAGATCTGAAAGATATTTAATTGATCTTGATAGGTTTTTTTGCTTTTTGATTATCTCACTTCCGGTCGTGAGATATGGACGATTTTCTGATTTTCAGAGGGTCGGCTTGTCCAGGAAACTCCTCCGAAACGACTTAAGATATCGACGTAAGATTTTCAGTGGAAATAGAGGAAGGTTTGGCGAGTTGTAATTGGGTCTGCAAATCTTTCTAGCGCAAAAGGCGCCGGCGCTCGGTAGGGCCCGAAAAATGTCTCAGAAATATCTCACAAATTTTAACACACTTTGTTTCATATCTTCACACCTGTTCATAATTTGTTAAAGAAAATTGAAGAAAAAATGTGCAACACCACAAGACCTTTCATTTGATATCAACAAAATAGGGCTGACCCCTCAAATTAGGGGCTCAGAGGGGCCAAAAGTCTTTTATCTATAACTCTCTGATGATCAATATTTTGTTATACATTACTGAAGCAAAAGTATTTATCTTAACAATTTAATGCTTTCTATATAAGTTGTTTGAATATTGGGTAATCTGAACTCTAGATATTAAGATTGGAAAATCTGAGGCGGGCCCAAGATGGCGGCTGTCTCTGTCAACTCCGCCATTTCGCGAGTAGGGGTTTATGGGGGCAGCTGAGCGTTTGGACAAACCATTCTAACAAAAGGACACATGAAATGTGAAAAACTACTTGGACTTTCACGTAGTAGTACGTTGCAATTCAGTGTCAATTGTAAAACTTAATTTCCGTTTAACTGCTTTAGTGTAACAGGGTACGATATGTAATGTGTACAATGTGTTAAATATACTTTCTTTACGTTGAAATGAAATAAAGGCGATAAGAACGTTTTATTTATTTAATTTCACTGAAGCTAAAAACCTATTTAATAGATCAGTCTAAAGAAAAGGCGCGAATACTTACTCCTGGCGTTTGGCGCGAAATTATGAAAAGTGCCCCGCCTTTTCTGATTCGTAGTCAGGTGTACTGTTTCAAAAGTATACACAAGTATATTTAGAGCAGTACTCCCAATGGCTTAATGGTTTGCGCATTGTGGATAAAAGAGAAAAAAGCGCATTCACATTGGCGTCCTTGGTTCAATCTTCCTTGTGACCAAAATTTTGAATCACTTTTTAGTTCGATTTTACAAGGGTTTTTTTTTGTGAATCGGACGGAAGACCTCTCGTTGCTCGCAACGAGATCGTTTCTAGTTATTATTATTATTTTTCTTTTTTTCATAGTTAGGGCGATATCTCAGCTGTGCGTGGACGGATCTAAAAGATTTTTTCAGGGATGATGTTTTTCATTTTTTCGAAATTCACTTTTGTTCGCGATTTTTGGGGATTTTTGTATTTTTTAAAAGGCATTTTGTCCAGCAGTTTTCTCGAGAACGGCTAAAGATATGACAATGAAACTCACTGAGGTAATAGAACATCAAACTCCAATCTGAACAATGATCTTCATTTTCGTTTCAAAATTTTTTTCTTTGTTTCTGTCTTTTTCAGTTGCAAATGACTTCTATCTCTTTTATAACACGTATGGAATATTTTGCCGATTTTTAAAAGCTATTTTTTGAGATATTTTGAGGAAAACTTGTAATTATCATTATGTATGTTGAGAGACTGCTGTAAATAAACGTTAACAAAAATATACATTCTGAAATCAATTTCATGTGATGACGCAGCATAGAACTCTAACGAAAAGTCAGTCGGAAGACCGCTTGTTGCTCTAGCAACAAGAACGCATCTAGTTTTCATTATAATTCCTTTTCTTTTTCACATAAATATCCACATTTTAATTGATATATAATAAGTTGTTGAATATTGTATGTGTGCTTGTGTGTATATTAGTTATCACTTACACATTCCTGGCCTCTCTTCCGTCCGGGTGAAATAGGGTTACTGTAGCTGTGATGCAGTTATGTGTTACTGAAAGAATAACAGAAAACAACTGATACTCTTTGGAATCTTCGGAATCTAATACATTTCTTTAATATACATGAGAGACTATAGTTAAATATATCATCTGTACTAAGGAATTCTTGCACAGGT